TTGGTTTGTTTGGGGGGGTTTGGGGGGGGAGGGTTTGTTTTGGGTTTTTTAGAAATGGTCCCTGTAGACTCCTGTTTCCTTATACACAGGAGGAACAAGCAAAAGCAGGCAGTTTTCTTGCTCACAGTTTCTAAGTCACCCCTTCCAGTCAGTCCTGTATCCAGGAGGTATTGTCTCCCTGCTCCCTCTTAAGGCCATGCTCATGACTGGTGACAAGAGAAGGAGCTTTTTCCTGGCTTTTTGCTTCTTACACATCTTGCCAAAACAATCCCATAGCTCCTGCATTTGCAATCAGGAGAATTCTCAGCCCACATATGCTAGCTTCTGAATAGATCTTGCCATGCAGCCCATTGCCTTTATCAGTGCCCTCCTATTGTTTCCAGTTACCACTACGTGAAAGGGGTTTTAATAGCTCAGATCAAACACTCCCCTTGACGGCAGTCGTGATCCCCTTCTAGTAGCACACCACACACTGAGCAGAGATTACACAGAATTTATAAATCTCCCTAAGAAAATGTTCCATGCTGCATACACAATAAACCAGGCATGACTGATGCTGGCCATGTCACTTAATTCACTAAGGGATACCATGACTAGAATAGAATAGAATAGAATAGAATAGAACGTGTAACCTGAAAGCAACTTTTATGAAGCTCAGATCTCAGAACAGAGCATGCAAATGCACCCATATTCAGTGTATTTCAGCATATTGTAGAACCTCCCATTCCCTGTTTTTGATCCTGTTTTCTTTGGCAGTCTTTCTAAGGTCTGATGCACTGTGCATGTACTTTGAGCTTCAGCCCTCTGCAGCTTCTAAGTCCTTTCACCTGAGTCTGTTGCACCATGCGTACAGTTGCTTGCCATAAAAAATAGCCTGAACAGCAGCAGTACCCCTGTGCTCCAGCCAGACACTAAAGCAAACCCCACTTGGTGTCATTTGCTGGCACAGTCCAGAAGCATTGAAATTCAGGCTGTGGTCAGCTAGAACAGCATGAGCATCCTGCCCCTCCCAATCAGACACTTGTAATTGGTGTGAAGTAGAGCATAATGCTGAGACAATACAGTGTGGCTGTACTTGCATGTCTCTGCATGCTTGGTCAGCAGGTCCACAGAACTAAACAAGTGCCCAGGGTGAGCATGCAGGCTGTTGTCTGTGAGTCTAGTTGCTGTTGATGTTCTGTCATATATTCCTGCACATGTGCAAGACCATGAGCTTTTTGTTTGCAATATGAGCTCCTTGGGACAGGGGCCATGTGAGGGCCTTATCTGGGGAAGCAGGGGGCTCTCTTATATGTGAAAAAAAGTTAATGAAAGGAAAGTGAGACATGCCCATTAATGGTGCTACTCACCCACATTTACAGCAGCAGATAATGATCATTGGTTAGTTGGATTAACTAATGTCATTTCTCCAGCACTTCCACTTGGTGATCACAAAGCATTTCAAATTATTAATAGGGGGAATCTCAGAACAGTTGTATGTAGAGTGGAATCACAGTGTTATAACAGTTTCGGGGAAACTGAGACACAGAAAACAGTGAGGTCATGGGAGTGAAACTGGAATTTCAGGAAGAAGCATGAAGGTTTAGATACAAACCACAGAGGTAACAGTGCTTTGCATTTAAGAAATGGCCGTCTACATGAGCTGTCAGTCTTAGAGTTCTGCAGTCTGTCTTTTGCTAGAAAGCAGAGATCAGTGCTTCTCTTGATAGCAAGGCATCTTGCAGACACACTGCTATGCTACAGCCAGGTGAACTCTCGATTTGGGGTGAAAGTGAACCCTACTTGTAGGGTTTGTGCACTAAGTTTTCGAGCTACCTGTGGATGTGTTAGGCAAGGCTAGTGCTCCAGTGGGTTCCTAGGCTTCCTGAGGCACCTGGTCATAAGAAACTGAGGTTACCTGTCATATAGTATTAGTATCTTTCCTAAGGAATATTTTTTGCTTCTCTTTTAATGACTGTTTCATGAGAGTGAGACTCATGTAAGCCCCAGCCACTGGGGCTCCAGATATATTGTTCTTATCTCATTTCCCTGCAATCAGATACTTTGGGGAACTCAGGCCTCAGGTTACACTCCAAGTTCTTTTTCCTCTGCTTTTCTGATTAAGTCAATGGGGATGAAAAGAGAAGGCATGAATGACTGATTTTTATTTTGGGGAACAGGAGAAAATATTGTATAGAGCTCACACCACTCAGACCCCACAGTGGCTTGCAGCAGGAGAGATCTGCACAATGACTGAACACGGTCAACACAGAGAAGAGGAAGCCAAGGAAGAAACATGCCAAACAGAGCAAGGGGAAATCCAAAGCTTTGTGCAAAGCTTTGCTACACATAGATTTGCATCCAATCAAGTTCTGGCACAACCTCCAGATGTTCAGAGGTGTCACTAAAATAAGCTTCAGGGCCTGTGGATGCCTAAGAAAACAATTGGCTCCTCTGCAAAACTGCATGGGAAATCCAAAACGAATGGGTTCTTGCCATATTTCAGCACTGCCACTTTTGGTCCTTGGTAGCACCAGGAAGCTCATAGGGAATGGAAATGCCTCCAAGCCTGACTGTTTGGGATGCTTCCTTAAACAGTCTCCTCTGAGCTCAACTTCAACTGGCAGGGTGCCTATGCACATGCATCGAAGCATACACATGCATCAGTTAATCAAGTCTGATAGAGAGTGGTAAGTACCACATTCCAGCAGACTCTGGCATCACATGTATCAGTGTCCCCATGCTGAAAAATGGTGGCAGGGGCGCTTTAACTAAAGCTTGTTCGATGAACTTTAGTTAAAGTGCCCCTGCCACCATTTTTCAGCAAGGGAACGCTGATACATGTGACACTCTAAGCACTCTAATTAAGATCGGCTCTTGGAGCTGCTCTAATTAAAGCGCCCTCCCCCCAACCTGCCAGAACACGTGTATAAATGCCCCCTGAGCCCTTACAAGTGCCTGGTCCTAGGGAGGAGCTTTGACATCACCCTTCAGGCACAAGACTAAACCAGCAGGGAGTGGAATCAGGCTTCCACAGACATCCTAAGGGGGATCATCTATCACTGTTGCCCAGCCGGGGCAGTGTACAGGGCCCAGGAGAGGAATGTGCAGCCACAGGGCCTGGCCAGGGAGTGGGAGGGCGCCATGGGTGGCTCATCCAGGGGATGTGGGGAGGGAAAGTGGGCTAGCTTCCTGCCACTGAACATACTCCCAGGGAGGGGGGCATAGGAGGGGCCCATGCCTCCCTGATTTGTGCACTGGGCAAGGGAGGATGCAGGCTTTGGGCTTCCAAACCTGATATCTTGCCCATGGGAGCCCCATGCCGGCTGCACTGCCATGGCAAGGTGCCCCCTGCCCACCTGGCAGCAGTGACACAGAGTTGTGCCCCTCACTGCTGCCAGGTGGGCAGGGGGGCCCTCATTATGGCGGTGTGACTGGCATAAGGCTCCCAAGGGCAGGACAGTGAGGCAGGGAACCCTGAACCCAGAACGGGCAGCTGGCCCCCACCCCCCATGGGCTCCTCTCCGCTCTGCTCTGGCCGTGCCATTGCGGGGTGAGCAAGCGGGGAGGCAGGCATGTGTCCAGCCTTCCAATTTGGAAAAGGTGGTCACCTGAGCTGGAGCTGGAGAGAGGAGAGCAGCCTCACCACTGACCCAGACAGCCTGTTCCTCTGCAAAGAGTCTCAGGAGAAGCAGGAAGAGCTCCAGGCTCTGGACGGCCACCACACCCATGGCACGTTTGTACAATTGTAGATCCAGCTCCTCCAGGAGATGGATCATGCCTCCTGCTTCTTCTATGCCCTGAAGAAGCGAGGTACCAAGAAGTACATCACCTGCTTCCTGGCAGAGGACAGCACCCTACACACAGATCCTAGCAAGCCGCTATAACCCGGGCGGTACTCCAAGAGGTACCCCCTCTCCAACTGAAGGGATCTGAGCAGGTGGACAAGCACTGTGGGAGGTGTAGGGACTCTCCTCCCCCTATAGAACAGAGTCAGGTCACCAATGGGGACTTAACCATATACCTTTTAATGAGAGAACAGTACTGGGAACATAACCAGTATAAACCAGAGGATATAGGGGACACTACAACGCCCCGAGGGGGCAGGATTCAACAAAAGTTAGACACTTACAATCATACACATATTCATCCAGCTGACAAAAAACAGGGTTAACAAAATATAAAACACAAACAGCAGAACAAACAATACTGGTTGGTGAAATATAAAAGGCACAAAATACAAAACATCAAAGAACAGGGAATAGAGGGCCTAGGTACTTGGAGGGGGGAAAAGGGGAAAAGACCATGGCCCCTTTCCACTGCAACAAGAAACTCATGCTGTTACATCACTCACCACAAGTCATCCCAGCTGGGACTTGAACTCATATCTCCCATGTGGGAGGCAGAAACTCTACCACACAGCCACCAATGCTGATGCTGCTCTAAGCTGCTAGGAGTTTTGACCTTCCTGAAGCCCCAGCCTCACATTGAGCTACCTGACCTCTTACTGGGGGAGTTGGAAGCAGAGCTGGGAACCTCTCAGGTTGCTGCTCAGGTCCTTGCTGGATCTGGGGAGCCTCTCCTGCTGGCCGCAACCTCTCGTAGGGGATCCTGGAGCCCAGCGGGGAGCCTCTCCTGTCGGCCACACGCCGCACTGCTGAGGGTCCAACTGCTGCCTGTAGGTCCCACTCCTTCAGGCTCTTCTGGGGCAACTACTCCCACCTCACTGGCCCAGCTCTTTGAAATTCCTTCCTTGTGGTCCCTCGGTGGTCTCTCCCTTGAGTCAGCTGCACTGCCCCTTTTATCCCCCTCCAGGTGACCCAAGGGGCCAATCAGGGGATATGGAGGGTGAGTCTCTGGGGCCTGATTGGTGAGGAAAGGGAATCCCAAGCCCTCCAATCATCTTTTACCCTTTCAAAACCCCTGGGCTAAATCACTACCAGCTAGC